ATTCCCTCATATGATTTATTGACCTTGTATCATATTATCAAATGCATGAACTATTTCTGTCACACTAATTTACTAAAACTATTGCGCAACATGTCATCTTGCAATGTCATATGCACTTTTAACCCTTAACAATTCAAAAAACACTTAAAGAAAATGTAAGGGTTTTTTTTTTACCTTGCAATATCAGTTTCAAATCCATTCTGACAGCACACTGATTTCTAATAAGATGAATGGCTTGTTTCTTTCCCATGTCTGTTTTAGGAGTTTGTAAGTTTGGCGACAAAATTCTGCGAAAAGGGCAGATTGCTTTATGGCAGCAACAAATGCATTGCCTACAGCCAGTTCAGAGATTGTCTGTAAAGCCCTGTTCACACCAAGAACGATATCGTCTGTAAGCGCACGCTCGTCTGCTGCTTTAAATTCTCAAGCTTGTTATAGCAGGTTTGACTCTGATTGGCTGTAAAAGTTTTTATCGTTCATCAGCTGAAAAACATTTTTCTGACATGTACACACCTTAATCACACCATTATCGTCATGTAGGACTTTTCGCCGCATTTTGTGACAGGATACACACACAGCAGTGGTCAACCATTTGACGGCAAACAAAAGAGCATGGCTTCAACAACACCGTTGTCTGTTTGCACGTATAGCATGACAAATAATTAACTGCACTTGAAGCTTTCAGTAAATTAAAAATGAAACACCCAAAACTGTATATGGCATCATAACGAAGACAAACTATATGTTTATACGTGAAATTCTGGAGGGGACGTCGGATGGCGTCGCGTGGTGACGTAATGTCGTGTGCCATTAATCGATCTATGTTCTATAACATGTAAAACGGGAACATGAAAGGAATATTCTAAAAGCAACTCATGTAAACACCTTAATCATAATATTGTCTTATTCAGAATAAGGTAAATAATTAGATTACTGATGTCTATGTAAACGTAGTCAGTGATTCCAATGATATCATTTCTCTGTGCCTTTATTGTTATAGCTGTGGTGTGGACTCTGCTATTCTTTAATATTGAGAAATAATATTGAGATTTTTAGAACTATATCTTTATCATTATCTTTACAGTTCGCTTTCGAAGACGGTTCATTTCGACATTGCGTCAGGAATCTGATGCAACGGGGACTCCCTTCCTTTCTTAACATACCTGAAATCTTATTGCACAACGCCAGTGAAGTTGCACTTCATACTGGCCAAGGTCAGCCAAGATGTCGAAAAAGGGGCGGATCCTCGCCACTATATAATGCGCCGCATTGGCGGCATGAACTCAGAATCTTCCTCTTTCAAGCATCCTACTTCAAGACAGCTGTGGAGAAGACGCAAGAAGACGGATTTCCCTCTTGGCGTTCCAGCATGTCAAGCTATTGCACGCTGTGTTCGGGACCCATTGAGGCTCCGGACACCCACGAGTACTGCATCCTGTACCTGGGTCTCACCCATGCGGAGGCAGCACTCGCTGAGTCCAACTGCCCGCACTGTGAGGAGTTCTCAGTGCGGGTACTTAGGACCTGGAGGAATATAGCACTTGGTGATTTCTCCCGGCAGCGTCAGCGAGCCACTGGTGGGACTGCCGCATGGGAGCGATCGCGCACGACGCGCTTCGCCCCCCCCCCTCTCCGGTGAGCTTTGTTAAAGAGAGTCTTCGACCCACCTCTGGTGTCATACGATGGCAGTGCTGCAGGTTTTTCAGGCACAACTCCTGAAATCCCTGGACGAGGGGGAGACAGATCCTGAGGCATTTAAAGATCTGCGCGCGGTGACAGACTTCACCTTAAAAGCCACGAAAAAGATGGCCCAGGCAATCGGACGGAGCATGGGTTATATGGTAGTGCTCCACCGGCATCTGTGGTTGACGCGTCGATGACGGACTGGGGAGCGCATTGCGATGGCATACCGGCTTCAGGCTCCTGGACGGAGTCGGAGAGGACGTGGCACATAAATCGCCTAGAGCTGAGAGCAGCCTTTTTAGCCCTCCGGAGCTTCCTCACGCAGGTGCGGGGGCATCATGTACTGATTCGCACAGACAATACGTCTGTCGTATCGTACATAAAACGGCAAGGTGGGGTATGCTCGAAAGCCCTCAGCGAACAGACGGCCTGCCTGTTGTTATGGGCCGATCGCCATCTGCTCTCCATTCGCGCAGCGCACGTTCCGGGTTGCCTGAACAGCAGCGTGGATATGCTATCGAGGAACGGGATTCCTCACAGAGAATGGAGGCTGAACCCCGGGCCAGTGAGACTGATTTGGGAGCGGTTCGGGATGGCAGAAATGGGTCTGTTGGCGACAGAGGAGAACACGCATTGCCCGCTGTTCTTCTCTCTGTCACGCTCTCCCCTGGGCAGGGACGCACTCACAATGCCGTGGCCGAAAGCCCGGTTGTATGCATTCCCCCCACTGAAGATTTTGCCACAATTGCTGCACAAAATCAAAGAGGAGAGGGCGCCGGTGATTCTAGTCGCTCCGTGCTGGCCAAACAGACCATGGTTTCCCGACCTGCTGGATATACTGACAGTTTCCCCATGGCAGATTCCGCTGAGACGGGACCTCCTCTCTCAGGCGGAAGGCTCGATATGGCACCCCAACCCCGAATGGTGGAAACTTCATGTGTCGATGGTGTGTGGAAACCGGTAAGCCTGGGCACATTATCTAGCTGCGACACGATTACAGAGGCACGAGCTCCTTCTACGAGACGCTTGTATGCTCTTAAATGGGCAGTCTTTGTTAAATGGTGTGAATCGAATGGCTGCGACCCGGAGAACTGTCCCGTATCTGACATTCTGGGCTTTCTGCAACAGTGAATGGACGGCGGCAGTATGCCTTCCACTCTTAAGGTTTATGTTGCAGCTATCTCAGCCTCTCACGCTGATAACAATGGGTGATTGGTTGGTAAACACGATTTGGTGATCAGATTTTTGAGAGGTGCGAGATGGCTGAGACCCTCTCGCCCTCCCACTGTGCCATCCTGGGATCTGGCTCTGGTGCTAAGAGCACTGGCTCTGCCTCCGTTTGAGCTGCTTCAGTCTATCGGTCTGAAGGAGCTCTCGCTTAAAACCGCTCTGCTGCTCTCCCTCGCTTCGGTCAAGCGCGTGGGGGACTTACAAGCACTATCTGTGAATGCTGCTTGCATGCAGTTTGGGCCAGGTGATTGTAATGTCACACTCAACCAAGATTGGGCTACGTGCCCAAGTCGCTCTTGACACTGTTCAGAGCGCAAGTGGTGACACTTTCTGCTTTCACTCCAGAGCCGGTGGCCTCCTTGGACGCCGCCCCTCATCATGTTCTATGTCCGGTACGAGCTTTGCGTGTTTATGTTGACCGCATGGCTCAGTTCTGTCAATCTGAGCAGCTATTTGTGTGCTTTGGAGGCGGAACTAAAGGGCAGCCTCTTTCTAAACAGCGGCTATCGCATTGGGTAGTCGATGCTATTGCTTTGGCTTATTCTAGCCAGGGTATAGAATGCCCTATTGGCATTAGAGCTCATTCGACGAGAGTGGTCGCCTCCTCGTGGGCTTGGACTAAGGGCGTTTCTATAAAAGACATTTGTACGGTGGCTGGATGGTCTTCGCTGAATACATTCACCAGATTTTACAATTTGGACGTGTGCTCCTTGGCCTCACAGGTCTTGTCGGTGAGCTCGACCCGTGCTTCCACATGCGGGTTCTAGCCGCTTGACTCTATATGGTTTCGACTAGCTCGTATAGTTGGAATTCAGAGGCGGGGAAACCACCGTACCCAGACAGCGGTGCTCACTTGGTGCCGCTGGAGTGAGCTTGTGACACATAGTGTTATCGTATTCGCTGTATTACTGCTTAAGGGTTAGCAAGGCACAAGACGGCAGTTCGTCTCTGTACTCGCGGTGTGCACCAGCTTGTTTATGACTTATATTTATGCACTAGTACCGGCTACGGCTGCTAGCTGAGTGTGTATACTGTTATCGTTGTGCCCGGCTGCGCCGCTCACATCCAGTGTCTGCATTATTATACTTTGCATTACATGCTTATATATATGCATACTGCCTATAACGTCCTATCTTTAGTATCACGGCACAAGCGGTCTCTCAGCAAAGCAGCTGAGTTTGAATTCTGAGTGATCTGATTGGTTCTCTGGTCAGGAATATACATCCAATCACCTGGGGGGCCTGTCAGGGGGTTGTCTGTGATTGGTTGGAGAGTGTTTGGTATGTAGCGCACTGTCAGCTCCGCTGAGGCTGAGCTCTCTTCACTGTTCTCACGGCGTTGCTCTATACAGTCCCCGTCGCGTCAGATTCCTGGTGCAATGTTGAAGTGAACCGTCTTCGAAAGGGAACGTCTCTGGTTACTTTCATAACCTCGGTTCCCTGAGAGACGGGAACGAGACATTGCGTACGCGGCCGTGTTCACTGCTCAGATCTGCTGTGCTGGTAGCTCAGGCGGAAGATTCTGAGTTCATGCCGCCAATGCGGCGCATTATATAGCCTTTTTCGCCGTCTTGGCTGGCATTGGCCAGTATGAAGTGCAACTTCACAGGCGTTGTGCAATAAGATTTCAGGTAGGTTAAGAAAGGAAGGGAGTCCCCGTCGCGTCAGATTCCTGATGCAATGTCTCATTCCTGTCTCTCAGGGAACCAGGGTTACGAAAGTAAATGGAAACATTATCATGCTTGGTATGAACGAAAGTGTAACGGCTAACTTGGATCATGTGTGCCTTAATAACAATCACATTACAGCCTTAATGTCATTGAATTTCAGTCAGAGACACTCAACTGTCGTTTACGGATACCATAGGAATGAATGAGAAGTGCCTTAAGCTGAATCCTACCTGTCGCAAAAAGTCAGTGACTTCTCTTATAAAATCATTTATTCAGAGGACTTCATTACTCTATTTTATGCAGATTAAATTATGCTCTCTTAAAGATACACAGTGCAGATGTGTTTTAGATTAGTTTATTACTCATTGGAGATGATTTAAACCAGATCTCTCTCTCTCTCTCTGTGTGTGTGTAAAGGGGCTATAGTCACAGGCTCTGCCAAAGCCAAACCAAAATAGTGTAAAGCAGCTGCTGTGAGAGGAGTCAAATGTGAGAACTTTCAAAGCAACAGCGCCATGTGGCTTCATTTGATCACCTGTGTGAGTGTAATAGATGACAAGAAGGTCACTGATTGTTTGGAAACAGAGAAAGGGGGGTTTGTGAGACTGTGAGAACTTGAATGTGAATGAATTCATGTGGGATTGTAAGCAGATAAACTAAAGCTTTTATTAGCAAAAATTACAAGGCCTCCAATAGTTTTGATGTGAAAAATACACCTGTCTCCCTCTGTCACGCGGTTCCCATCTGAAGGTTCCTCTGAAATAATGGCACTTTAATTGTATCCTGTCAACCTTGAACAATAGGTTCCTTTCATTACTATAAAAATACAAAAACAAAGAAGAGAGTTGGTCTATCAAAAGCAAATATCTAGAGTCATTTTCTCAGGGATATCAATATAAAATAATAGAAATAATAGAAATAGAAAAGGCCTCATGTTGGGGAGAAGAAAGCTGGAGAAAGGCTACTTGCACTTTAAAGTGAGTACACAGCGTCATATTTCACCTCTCCTAATATTTCCTCATAAAAGCCTTCTCTCCACACTCAAGCTGAAGTCTCAGGCTGAAATAAATAGCTTGTGCATCCCTCTACCATACCAGCTCTCTTTTATTTCAGCCTTGCCCGTGAGCTAGTAAACTTCATGACCTTCCCTGTCGTGTTTTACTTTGACTGGTTGCTATTTTTTATGTTTTTTAAATATTTACAGTATTATATATATATATATATATATATATATACTACCAATCTAAAGTTTTTGAACAGTATAAGATTTTTTGTTTTTTTAAATAATTTTTCTGCAGAATAAATGATCCTTCAGAAATCATTCTAATATGCTGATTTGCTGTTCAAGAAACATTTATTATTATTATCATCATCATCATTATTATCAATATTTAAAACAGTTGAGTACATTTGTTCAGGATTATTTGATGAATAAAAAGATCCAAAGATCAGCATTTATCTGAAATAAAAAGCTTTTGTAACATTACCCATGGAC